CTGAGGTTTGAGGTGATGATGATGAAGAGCAAAGCGCTGAAGATGAGATGTTTCTGTTCGTGGCCTCGTCTGACCCGAACGTTGATCGTTTCAACAGAACCTCAACTGTCTTTGTTCTGCTTGTTGTCTCCATCTGTTCCCACCCCCTCCCGGTCTCTTCCTCCATCTGACTCATCTTCCTCGCTGGTCCAGGAGCAGCCTTACATGGTCAGTGACGCAGCGGCAGGTTCTCCCCACGTAACGCTCCTTAAACACACTTCAGAGCTCCCACTGGCTGGCTTGGCGGGCCCGGCGGGCCAATCGCCAGGCTCCGTCTGTTTCCACGGCGATGTGACGCATGGAGAGCACAAAACCTCCTCTTCCTCGTGGATGCTGCTGCAGGCCTGACACGCTGCGCTGGTTTTACAACGTCCAGAAATAAAGCAGCTATTTCAGGGCCCGTGGGGCCCGACGGAGGCGTTACGAGTCGACGGCGTCACCGAAACCAACGAGTCAGCGCCGAGACGACGTAGAGAAACCCCTGAAAATAAACGTGTTAAACCTGAACATGAGCGATCGTTCCAACTGACGCGTGTTTATTTCTGAGACAGAAACTACAACGGCCTTGACCTTTTCAAAAGTGACCGAATCCTAGTGTGGATTTGTTATTTACAGGGTGCGACTGAATGCATCACAAACCTTTACGTGGTCACAACCGGCTCAGAGCCCCATGTTTTGGTCCCTCCCACTCTACATCTGTGCTGTGATTGGTTAATTTTCCTGTCAGTCACTGAACACGCCCCTCCTGCAGAGTCTGACTGAACTGAGCCTTCTCCCCTGACAGTGAAGTCCTGACCAATGAGAGCGCTCCGTCAAACACGATTCTGCCGGAGACATTTCAGAGAATCTGATTGGACAACTAATTAAAAACGTTTTGTTGCTCAACTGCACGTAGTTTACTGAAAACGAGAAAGATTCAAGTCCCTAAACACGGCAAACAAGTTGTAAATTAGTTTCTGGAATAAAATTAAAAACGTTTTTCTTCTTTCGGCTGCTCCTCCAGAGCGAACTAACTCCCACGAAGACTTGGTGATTGTTTGTACACTGGTTGGCCTTCCTTTTTTTATGTTGTCTGTACGGGGAGTTGAACCGGGGACCTTCCACTCGCAGGCCCACCTTCTCTAACCTCTGCACCACCACTCCCCCTCGTAGAAAAACGGGGACATTTTTCTAAATCAAAAACAAAACGCCAAAATCCAGACCCACGCCAACCGGTTCCAAATCAGATCTAATCCATTAAAGGACCTGTACGACCTCAGAAAGTCCCAACTCAACACCATCCAGTTCTTGGAGGACTCCAGTATGTCGTACTGGTTGTGTTTTGATCTTAAAATAACTGACGTAAACAGGCACACACCCTGGAGTGACGGTGGGTGTGTGAAAGACGCAGCGCAGGTTGGTATGTTCCTTCCATTGCATCAGACGCTGCGTCCGTCTACACTCGGGTCACGTGACCTCTGACATCCGTCAGGGCGGGAGCCGTTTGTCTTCAACGCCCTGAAGCTAACTGTACGGTGCAACCATGGCGACCAGCCTGCGTCTCTTTCCTCTCTGCGTGCAGAAATCCAGGCTTCCTGCAATCGCTTGCAACACGACGAGCCCTGCAGACCTTTCAGAGTCTTATCTTTCGTCGAGTGACGGCCTGAGAGTGAAACTCCCAGGACCGCTCAGAGGACTCTCCTGAAGTGGCGCTTCGGCCCGCGAGTCGGAGCGATGGAGAAGTCATGACGGTGAAGGAGGCGACAACGCATCATCGGCCTCGGGATGTGGAATACCTCTACATACCATCCAAAACAAACACAACCTTTTGTCCAACCGGAACTCCAGAGGCTTTTACGTGGTTACAACCTGTAGAGTTCAGACGCCGCTCGTTGTTCAGGTGAACAGACACTAAAGCTGGAGTGGACCGGCTTACAAAACATTTTGTTATTCTTTTCTAATAGTTTGTGTTGTTTTAACTCCTAACCCACCGTTCAACCCCTTCTGCTCACAACAGACTCATGTTCAGGCTGCTGTTTAATGTTACATCATTATTATTGATCCTTGTATACAGTTTCTTTTTTATATACTTTAGGGTTTTTTGCTATAACTGGATGTAACTGGGACCTTGAGTACACAATTTTGTTCCACCTCATGTACCATCCACAAAGCGCTCAACAACCTAGCTCCATCTTATATTACAGATCTTATTGCTCCATATTTTCCTAACAGAGCACTTCGCTCTCAGACTGCAGGTTTACTCGTGGTCCCTAGAGTTTCCAAAAGCAGAATGGGAGAAGATCTTTCAGTTCTCAGGCTCCTCTCTTGTGGAACCAACTTCCAGTTTCTGTCCGTGAGGCTGACACATTGTCCAGTTTTAAGACTGTCCTTGTCGATAAATCCTATAGTTAGGGTTGGCTTGTTATGCTGCTATAGGCTTCGACTACTAGAGGACAAATTGTCCTCATTTCCTTAAATGAATTGTTAAAATTGAATAGTTTTCATTTGATTCTATCTTACCATGTGATTCTTGACCTGCCATTGTGTATCTATTCCTACCAAACCCAGCCAGTCGAAGCAGATGGTCCTCTCGTCCTGATCCTGGTTCTGCTAAAGGTTTCTTCCTCATGAGGGAGTTTTTCTTCCCACTGTCGCCTTCATGCTTGTTCAAGATGAGAGTTCAGTGATGGAGTTAAACTCAAAGCTGCTCCTCAGATAAATAACGTTAAATTATTATTTTTATATAAAAATGTTTCTGTTCAGCGCCTGAGGCGACTTCTGTTGTGACTTGGAGCTTTAGAAATAAACTGAACCTTTAGGTCACTACAGGATTCTGTGCGGCAGAGGCCTCGTGTACAGAACCAGTCGGATCAAACTGTCGTGATCTGGTACCTTAAATATTTGATTTGATCAGAAATCGTGCCGTTTCACTAAACGTGATCTTTTTGCTCTAATTCTGTAACACGTTGCCAAGATGATTCATGCGTTTATGAGCTGGATGGATCCACGGATCGGGGCCTCGTCCTGGCAACGCTCCGTCGTCCCGGGGGGAGCTCGGAGTAGAGACGCTGCTCCTCTGCGTTGACGGGAGTCTGCTGAGGTGGTTCTCCCTTTCCTCTGGGTCTCTGGGGCGAGGGAGGTCTGGGTTTCCGTCCTGGACTGGTTTCCTCTGACCCGACCAAACCTAAACTGAGGTGACCCATCTCTCTCTGCAGCAGTGGATGATGGGAAGTTTTTTTTTTACTCATATTTTGCACATGTGCATGTGTTTTTATTTAATAAACGGGAGCGGACGCAGAAGAAAAGTGACACTTTGTTGTTCCGTGCGCAGAAAGTTGGTCACTCCGGAGCCGATCTCCGTCATCTGGGGACGTTGTTGTGCTGTGAGAGGAGTTCTGGCCTCGTCTGAGGCGGGCCAGCGGCCAAAACCAACAGTCCTGTCGGGTTCCCGTCACTCCAACAGGACGTGACGTCACGGGCAAAGGTTGATGCTGTTTGTGCTCGCTGAGCTTCCCTTCGCAGCCCAGCAGCTTCTACACAAACACGCCGCCGGGGAACTCACTGTTCTGTTTTACAGAAATATTTCACCCCCCAGGCAGAAAACTGCTGGGAACATGAGGAAAAACTTGTTTTTCTCTGCCTCTTGTAAACACTGAGCTGAAGACAAACCGCTCTTACACAAGTCTTGTAAAGTCAGCTGGATCCGTTTTAACGTTTTTTTTTATATTTGAGTGAAAAATCTGCTCCTGCTCCGTTTAATCATCCGAACCGTTAAAACCCAGTTTTATTTTTATTGAAGTTTCAGCTGAAAGACACCGGAACACCAGCGGGACGGAGAGATGCTGCAGCCGAGGCGTCGCCATGGAAACTGAGACGATGCTCGTCCCCTTCGAGTGTTTTCATCCAGAAAAATCAGAATTGGGACGAACAGGGTGGCACGCGCGGGTACAGCTGCTGCATCTTAGCAAGAAGGTCGGCGGTTCAAATCCCAGCCCGGGACCTTTCTGGGTGGAGTTTCATGTTCTCTCCGTGCTGCGTGGGTTTCCTCCCACTGACCAAAAACATGTATGTTAGACTGACTGGTGAACTGTCCCTGTGATGTACTGGAGACCCGTCTCTGGGTGTCTCAGTGATAGCTGGATATGGACACCAGTGACCCCCCCATGACCCGAAAAGGAAGAAGTGGAAACTGACACCAGTCCTTTTCAAACTTTACTAATAGAAAAGATTTAGAGCAGCGCTTCTTAAACTTTTCAGATTCTGACCCAGAAAGTCAAAGACCCTCAGATTAAGGCTGAATGTGCGTTACACTTGTTGTCCCACGTGACCCCCAGGGGGGGGGTCCAGAACCCAGCTTTGTCTGGTTCTGCTGGAGGTTCGTTGCTCATGTGCTCAGCCTCCCCTGGTCTCCTTTGGTTTTATAAGAAACTGGACGGAGGTGGATCTGAATATTAAAGATTCAAAGCAGCTTCTGCAGTTATTAAAACATTAATTTATATGTTCCAGATTTAAATTTAGTCCATTTTGCTGCTTTATGAACTTGAGAAGCACAAACATCCAGCAAAGTTCTGACTATTCAGATTCCTACATTTCCCAAGATGCACCGGTGAGCCTTCAGGTCACATGCCTCCATGTGACGAGCAAGGACTCAAGGCGACACTTCCTGCAGGACACATGGTCCATAATCTCAGAATCAGTGATTTCTCTTAAAATCAGATTTTTGTAATTTCAATGTGAAGTTTCTTAAAGAGCAGAAACTACAAGTTAAACTTCTTCAAAACTTCTGGTTGCAGCTTTTTGTGCAGCGATGAGAAATGTTCATTTATGGTCCAGTTCAGCTGAACTGGCTCCCGTTTTAAATTTCTTTTATAAAGATATCCGAGTTTAAATCAAGTAGGCACAGCGGCGCGCGCATGCGCAGTAAACACTCCGTCGTTTTAGTTTCAAACATTTATTCAGATAAAAAGTTGAACATTTTTCCACTTTGACACTCAAACAGGCATGACGTCACTGAGACGCAGCCCGGACAGTTCACTGTAAAGTCCGTGCGCGTGCGCAGGTGAACCTGCAGCTCAGTCCCGAGCTTCACGCGCAGCTCCTCAGTCCAGTCACGTGCTGACAGTCCTTAAAACCGCCCGTCTCTGCAGCACGGTTCGGTCCGGCTCCCGGACCCAGGTCCCACGTCCTCCAACTGGACCAGGCAACCCCGTCCACGCGGTTCGGTCGGTTCCTCTCAAACGCCTTGATGTCCTCCGACACGAGGACAGGCCGTTCGGTTCCCGTTATCCAACTCCTTCCGCCGCTCCCCGGCGGTTCGGTTCAGTTCGGATCGGTTCCACTCAGCGGTCCTGCAGGTCCAGACAGGGGACCCACTGGTTCTTGCAGCGGATCTCCTCGCAGAACCTGCTGACGTCCTGCAGGGCCTGGCACTGCAGCGGCTGGACCGGCGGGTTCTGCAGAAAGAGGACGGGTCAGATCCGTGCAACAGAACTGGAACGGGTTCAGACTGAGCGCGGCAGGTTTGGACTTACCGTGACCAGGATGCAATGCAGGTCCCGGGGCTCGTTCCCGTTGCCGTCCCCGGTGTCGTCCCCCAGCAGCTGGGCCAGCCGCCGGGTTCCGGACACGCGCAGGATGTTGATGTCGTTGTCTCCGCAGAAAGCTTGGAGCAGCGTGAAGTGGATCTGCAGCGCGATGTCGTCCTCATCCTCCTCGTCCGTGGCCAGGAGGCACAGGACCACGCTGTCCGGGTCCCTGCAGGACAGGACGCACAGTTAGAACCGAACCCCACCACGCAGACCAGAACCAGCCCGAACACCGAACCCATACTCACACGTTCATGAGCTTGGCGGACTCGTAGACCCCCACCGTGAGGCCGTCCTGCAGCTGAGCCGCGACCAGCAGCTCCTCCAGGGCCTGGGCCACCGTCTCCATCCTGCAGGGCACGAGGCGGGTTAGAACCGGGACACGACACCACAATGCCGGAACCATGCACACTCCAAGTACTCACTTTTTATCGGTGCTGCTCGGTCCAACAAGCTCCTCCAGAGTCATGTTGAAGTCAGTAAAATAATCCACCAGCTCCAGGATAGAAGGCAAATATCCGCTGAACTCCTCAGATAAAGTCCCGATCAAAAGGTAATCCAGTCCGGTACCGCAGTGCTGCCAAGGTCCGGGAGCTGCGAGAGGCTCGGATAAGTCCAAAAGTTCCGATCGGAGTGTCAGAGAGAAGCTTTGTGTCGGTGACGGACGAAACTCTTCGCATTTATACCCTGCTGCGGCTGCGCGCTCTCTGATTGGTCCGCCGCGATCAAAAGGGCCCCCGTTCTGCGCGCTGATTGGCTGAGCGCGCAGCAGAAACTGCCGAGCCCACGTGGGCGGTTTCGGAGAATCCCCCGCAGTTCCTCCCTCCTCTTCCTCCTCGGGTTGTTTGTAGAGAGGAGGTTTTTCTGTCTGAGCGGAGGAATTTCCAGACCTCCTCCCTCCCAGAACCTGCTCCCGCTGCACCCCCCCCCCCCCTCCAAAACCCATCACGACCCTTCACGACCCACCAGGTCCGTCCTCGCACACCTGGAGTGGGGGACGGTGGCAGGTGGCACGAGCGGATTGAGTCAATCAAAAACAGAGAGGTCAGGTGATGGAGGACTGTTAGCTGCACGAGGCTCCTTCTGGACCCCATGACCCGGGTTCAGACTCCACTAAAGCCTTTAGCTGAAAGCAGCCTGAGCTTGGCTAAAAGCTAAAAGTAGCAAATATCCAGCTGAAAGTAGCAATAGGCTAGCTACTAGCAAAAAGTGCAAAAACACTAGCTAAAAGTATCAAAGCACTTGTTAAAAGAAGCTAAATGCAAGCTAAAATGAGCACATAATTAGCTAAATGTAACAAAACACAAGCTAATGGTAGCAAAGTGTTGGCTAAAAGTAGGAAATCACTGGCTAAAGTAGCTAAATGTTAAATAAAACTAGCAAGTGTTTAGCTACAATTGGCAAATGTTGGCTGAAATTAGCAAAGCACTGGCTAAACAAAAAAAATTAAAAGGTTAGTTAAAAGGTAAATAAAATGAAAGGGTAGCTCAAATGTGAATTACATAGCTAAAAGTAGCTAAACGTTAGCTAAAAGTAGCATAAGAATTCAGAAAGAGCAGCTGCAGCAGATTTTTTAAAAGAACCATGTTTTTGAAGAGATCTGAATGTATTTTTTTGTAAATAAAGTTAAATATTTTGAACAGTTTAAAAAGTTACAAAAAACAAAAGTTGTAGCTGCATCTGCTGAATGAGCCGAACATATTCATACACAAACGGCTAAAATAACAATGATTGCAGGAAGTTCGGCTGCAGAAAACATGGCAAACAAAAACAACCGGACCTGGTGCAGAACAGAACCAGGTCCTGGAGGGTAAAACCGACTCCTCATAACAGAGATGGGGGAGTCCCGTCATCTAAAAAGTCCAGTTGGGGGGGGTTCTGAGGGGACTTTCAGCTGATCTTTGTTGTTGTTCTTTTAAAAAGAGACAAAAATTCAAGAAATGAAAGTGAAAATATTCCAGAAGCTGCTGCCCTGCAGACATTTTAAGGGACTTATGACTTTAAAAACAACAAGTTTTCACTTTCAGAAGATTTTTAAACAGAAAAGCATGACCTATAGAAGGGTCAAAGGTCACTTCAATGTATAAATATTAAATAAATACACTTTTAAGACTGCAAGGCAGTTTGTAAACTTTAAAAACATCCAGGCATGATGTAAGAAGTGAGGTTATTTTATTATGAAACTGGTTCCATTAAAGTGTTTGTTAAGAGAAACTAATGAGTCATGATGAGAAAATCCTCACGTTTAAATTTATTCATCACGTGATCCAAGTGGCATTTTAGCTCAAAAGCTGGACATAACTGAGCTACAATAAACAAATTAAAAGCCCTTAATTCGTGTTTTTATATTTTTAATTTTAGTCAACACTAATAAACTTTGAAGGCAAATATATTTACTTTACTAGAAGTATCTAAGTGGAAATTTAGGTTTGAATAAGAGATTTGTTGTGAACCAGCGCCCCCTGCTGGTCAGATAAACTCCTCTGCAATCTTAATTTTTTATTATAAATATTTTTATATACATATTTTTTTTTCCTAATTAAATATTTCCATGCTTCACTTTGTTTTTTGTTTGTTTCAGTTTATTTCAATGGCTTGGAATAAAAAAAAACAATTATTTCATTTAATTTTTAATTAAGTGTTTCTTTATTCGTACAGAAGCACGCCCAGACAGAAAATATTTCCTGTTTTTATTGGGGTGTTATATTTTTTGCAGTATATTTATGTGGAATTAAAGTAAACACAATATAAACATCACAACAACCCCGGGAACTAAAATAAAATCTCATTTAAACATGAAGTGACAAAACATTACACCATCATGTGATTAGATGAAAATAAACACTAAATTAAACATTTTAAGGTAATTTGGTCCGTCTCTGTGATGGACTTGCGTCCAGGGTGTACCCCGCCCCTCGCACACTGATTACTGGACATGGGCACCAGCCAATCAGAGCTGCTGTTTGGATCACATGACCTTTGATCTGTCTGACAGTGATTTAATTACCTGAGCTAAACAATGTTTATTTGATTAAAAGGTTTTTATTGCTCTGAACTGTAGAGAATATAAACTAAGAGGACGAAAATGTTGTAAAATGTTAAAGCACTTTACAGTTTTGTTGGTTTGACTTTAATTTTGAAAGGTTAAAGGTTTAATTTGAAGGGACAGGTGAGAAGTTAGTGTTTTAAAACATGGTTTAAATCATATTTATCTGATAGATTCCAATTTGTAAATGTAAATGATGAATCTTCTTCAAACTCCAAAATTAGTCATGGAGTTCCTCAGGGTTCAGGGCTTGGGCCAGTACATTTTGACTTTATTTATGCTTCCATTAGTTATTAAACAGCATGGGATCAATTTTCGTTGTTATGCTGATGGTAGAGTTTCTGAAAGCGGAGCTGGAGGCAGAGCTTTCAGGCTCTTCTCTTGTGGAAACAACTAGTTTCGGTCCGTGATGCTGACACCTTGTCTAATTTTAATACTCAGCTTAAGCGTTTCCTTTTTGATACATTCAGTTAGGGTCAGCTTGGGTTTCCTGAGCTATCCCTTAGTTTTGCTGCTATAGGTGTAGCCAGGACAAATTGACCACATGTCCTCCCTCTGCTGCTGTCTTTCCTTGCTCCACCTGTTTGTGTTTGTCGCTGCCTCTGGACCGGGTCAGTGCTGTGTGGTTGGTTATGTGGTTCCCTCAGACTGATGGTTCTCGGTGCGGTTCTGTCCGAGGGACGATTCAGACAAAGAACCAGAACCTTCTCGCAAAGTTTTCGGACCGTTGACCCAAACTGAAGAAACGCTCAACGGTTCTAAAATGTGCTGAAGGTCCAGAAACCAAGACGGAACCAACAGATGACACCAAAAGTTCTGGAGTCCCTTCTGTCTGGAATAAAACTACCAAACATTTTCACATTCAAACTGTCTCACGTCTCGACCAGCATTTTAAAATAAATGTTTTTAGAGTCGAACGATCAAAATCTATAACGTTAACTAAAGTTTGAGTTGTAAAATAAACATTTTTAGTTTAAAATGATCCAAAGTTGGAAGAACTTTTTAACAAAAAGCCTGCATGAGATTAAAAATCTAATTAAATCCACGATCTACCATACACACGTACACGATTATTCAATTTACATGAGTACATGACTTTGTTCCACCTCATGTACCACATGGGATGCAAATGACAATAAAGAAATTTGGACCTTGATGTGAATCCACATCCTGACTGATGACGCCGACCTCCTGCTGGTTCTCCTGCAGTTTACAAATCATCTCTAACCGTTTCCTCCTCACGCCTCCTTCAAGTCATTCATCCCGACAAACAAATCCAGACTCGTGGAGCTTTTAATTTAACCACAGCGCGTTGTTTTATTTATCATTTTAATTAATTTACAAATTGAGCAGTCTTGGAGAAGAAACTGAAAATGTAATTTGGATTATTTATTTTTAATTTTATTTATGAGTCAAAACATGCAGCTTTATTTTGAAAATGAAATGCATTTCTATTAATCCGTTTTAATTTGAAATTTGAGACACGTTTGCTTCCATTCTGGAGAGGAAGACCGCTAAAACACAACGCTGTTGTTTCCTGATGCATGATCAATAATCCAGGTAGAACAATCTAACAAAGTTAAGTTAAGTCCTCTGGACGGACGTGAAAAGTAAAAAATGTTGAAACGTTTCGTCTTTTATCCTGAGGACTTCTTCAGTCTGAGGTGCTGTTTTCAGCTCAGTCTCTTAAATAGCACCTTCTCAGAGTGGATCAACCAGTTTGCTGCTGACAACCAAAACCAGCTGCTCACATGCTCAAGAAGGACCATCAGCCTAACAATGGCTCATTAGCACACTGATGGCTGTTTACTGTTCACAGAGGGCTGAGTGATACTAGCAATCACAGCATTGTAAGAGGGGGACAGTTGAACCCGGAGGCCTCCACCCCTGTTTAATGATGGACGGTTTCTTTTCACAAAGATGGCCTCCTTTACTCCTCTCTCAAACCATCGTTCCTCTCTGTCCAGGATGTGAACATCTTCATCCCTGAAAGAGTGACCGCTGGCCTGGAGATGAGTGTAGACCTCAGAGTCCTGGCCTGATGATGTTGATCTTCTGTGCTGGGCCATCCTTTTGGCCAGTGGCTGTTTAGTTTCCCCGATGTAAGACTGATCACCTTCCTGACACTGAGCAACATACACAACATTACTCTGTTTGTGCCGGGGGACTGGATCTTTGGGATGAACCAGTCTTTAATGTATTTTGGGGTTTAAAAGCCACTGGGACGTTATGTTTAGAAAATAAACGTCTCAGTTTCTCTGATACTCCCTCAACATCTGGAATGACCACTGGTCTGGGTCTGGGTTCCTCCTTTTCACCTGATGGCTGACTGGAGTCCTGTTTGGGTTTCTTCTTTCAGGAAGGCCCAGTTAGGATATCCACATTGCTCTAGAGCCTGTCTTGTGTAGGATTTCTCCTTCTGCCTGGCTCCTGATCTAGTGGGGATGCTGTCTGCTCTGTGGTACAGAGTCCTGATGACTCCTAACTTGTGCTCCAAAGGGTGATGGGAGTCAAACTGCAAATACTGGTCTGTGTGGGTGGGTTTTGCCTTCATCTCCTCCTGCATGTCTCCGTGAGTGCAGCTACAGCGTGCGCTCTCAGGACATTATTACCTGCAGTGTTCCCTCAGTGCGGACTGAACTAGACAAAAGGGCCTTCTCCTCCGCTCTCGTTTCCTGGAACATCGTACAAAAAAAATGAAGCTCTCGACCTTTGACCTCTCTAAGAGATTTTAAATAACTGATGTGTTCATGGCAAAAACCAGCACAGACATATTCCTGTTTTTAGTATTTTACATCACTTTAAAGTGTAGCTGTTTTTGTTTAATTTTACATCATTTCTTCTGTTTACCTTTTCATTTTATATGTTTTTATATGATTGTCTATTGTTGTCCCAATAATGTAAAATAATGCAGTGTATTAAACAGCAGCCTGAACATGAGTCTGCCGTGTGCAGATAGATGGGTATGAATGAATACAGCATCATGGGTGATCTGCAGCACAGATACGTCACATGTCACCAATTAAAGTGTCATCACAGTGATGAACCTGGTTAGAGATTCATGAGTCTAACAGCCTCAGGGTAGAAGCTGTTCCTCAGTCTAGTGGTTCTACACTTAATGCTCCTTAACCTCCTTCCTGAGGGGAGCGGGGCAAAAAGTGTGTGTGCTGGGTGAGTGTGGTCCTTCATGATGCAGGTGGCCCTCTTCCTGCATCTGGAGATGTAGATGTCTGTGATGGTGGGGAGGCTGACTCCAACATCTTCTGTGCAGCCTTCACCACTCTCTGCAAAGCTTTTCTTTCTGCAGCTGTGCAGCCTCCATGCCACACGTTGATGCTGGAGCACAGGATGCTCTCCACTGCACACCTGTAGAAGGAGGTGAGGACTGAGCTTCCCAGACCAGCTCGTCTCAGCCGTCTGAGGAAGTAGAGTCTCTGATGATCTTTCTTCATCAGGCTGGTGGTGTTGTTGCTCCAGCTGAGGTTGTTGTTCAGGTGCACACCCAAGTACTTGTAGCTGGAGACCACTTCCACCGCAGATACTCCTATGTTCAGGGGAGGGGTAGGTGGGTGGAGGTGTTTTTGTTCCATCTGAAGTCCACGACCATCTCTCCAACATGAAAGTGCTCAGCACACAGCCCTGAGGGAGCCATTGCTGAGGGTTATGGTGGAGGAGGAGAAGTTGTGCATCCTCACAGAGCAACATCATCAGGCCAGGACTCTGAGGTCTACACTCATCTGCAGGTCAGAGGTCACTCTTTTAGGGATGAAGATGTTCACATCCTGGACAGAGAGGAACGATGGTTTGAGAGAGGAGTAAAGGAGGCCATCTTTGTGAAAAGAAATCGTCCATCATTAAACAGGGGCGGAGCCTCCGGGTTCAACTGTCCCCCTCTTGTAATGCTGTGATTGCTAGTATCACTCAGCCCTCTGTGAACAGTAAACAGCCATCAGGTCACTAACATTCTAGTTTGATGGTCCTCCTTAATCATGTGAACAGCTGGTTCTGGATGTCAACAACAAACTGCTTGATCCACTATGAGAAGGTGCTATTCATAAGACTGAGTTTGTTGCAGCTCCTCAGACTCAAGAAGTCCTTTAGACAAAAGACGAAACGTTTCAACAATTTTACTTTTTTTTTTTTTTTTTTGCATCTGTGTGTCCAGAGGGCCTGACTTAATTTTGTTAGGTTGCTGTTGTTTTATTTGTCATATACAGAGTGCGCTCTCAGGACATTATTACCTGCAGTGTTCCCTCAATGAGAACTGAACTAGGCAAAAGGGCCTTCTCCTATTCCGCTCCTGTTTCCTGGAATATCTTACAAAAAGATTTGAAGCTCTCGACCTTTGACCTCTCTAAGTGTCTAAGAATTTGTTGGACACCTGGCAGGGTCCAATGCTGACATGTTCCTGTTGTTAGTTTTCTACATTTGTCTTGGAATCTAGCTGTTTTTTGTTGTGTTACCTTTTCCTTTTAGCCATCCTATTTGTTAAAAAAAAAAAAACTGTAGTATGCTTTTTTTATAACTGTTTATTGTTGTTGCTGTTGTCCATTGTTGTCATCTTTCTTTGTTGAAATCAGGTCTCTCTTGTAAATGAGTCCTCGAGGCTCAATGGGATTTACCTGTAGAAATAAAGGTTGATTGATATGCAGTAACACAAGGTCGATGATGCAATGAAATGTTTAGGATGAGAAGAACCGATTTGACTCCCTAAAAACAAACAAACAAAAACTAAACAAGAAATACTAAAGCATGCAATAAGTGTACAAAATAAACTAACAGTCTACTGCAACAATGGCCAATGTAGGATTTATATTGTAGCACTTTGAGAAAAATATAAAGTGCAGTACAAATTGAATAAATTATTATTATATTTAAAATATAATATTTAAAAAAAAAAAACAAGCCCGATGAAGTCGCACATTCCCAGATTGCCGTTGAAGCACCATTAGCCCCGCCCCTTTTCTGCTCCTGCCGTTGACCGGAAGCAGTAGCGCCAACTCTTCCCCTTCAGAAGAAAAAAAAATAAGAAGCGTACTTTTGTTTTGAAGTGTTTCACCGGAAATATATGTTCAACTCAGGTGAGCTTTACAAATGTGCTACGTGAATATTTCTCACCGTGGTCAGGTGTGTTAGTGTGAACCGCCATGACGGAAATTAATGTTGAACAGGAACCGCGGGAAAGGTTCGAGTGTTGCTAACGTGTTAGCTTAGCAGCTAGCATGTAGCTTTACGTTTCTTTTTGAAGAGGCCGACAGTTAAACGTTGAGACAAACGGTGTTAATTTGAATTTAGCCAGTTTTCGGTTTTTATTGTTAATGTTTTGTGTCTGCAGGAGGATTCTGGCACGAAGGTTGTTGTAACTCAGACTGAGGAAAAATCCAGGAACATCAAAAGAGCAGGTCGTTTTATTTTTTATGTTTCTGGAAAGATAAAGTCCTTTTTGTTTGTTTTTACTCTCAAGACCTAAAACTATTTTTCAATTCGAGATTAAACCCTGTTCAAATCTCTATATCAAGTTCATTGTCATTCACATCACATGTGGTGCATGAGGTGGAACAAAATTATGTACTCGGGTCCCAGTTACACCAAAAAAATAGCAAAAATATAAATCATAAAAAGAAGCGGTATATAAGGATCTAAGATATACGCTAAATGAACACCAAACAGCACACTAAAAGATCTAAACACTAATAATGTAAAACAATACGGCGTATCTGCAGCATCAGCATATATCAGGAGCTCATAAAAAAAAATATATATAAGTTAATTGTTCTTTTGTGCAGGACGTCGAACCACCTGAAACAACTGAGGAGACGATGGACAAGTCTCAGGAGGACAAATGGGACGAATACACAGCCTGTCCACCGGCAGAGGACTCCTCCAGCATGAAGTTAAAGGTAACAGCAGTCCAGTCGTCCCTACTGGGAAACATTCTGCTCTGAATTCATAATTTGTCCTCCTCCAGCAGAACGCACCCTGACAGCTCTTTGCTCTTTTTACTCCTGATGAATGATGTGGTTTTGTTCCTCCGTCCGGTAGTGGGAGGTGGGAGCTCAGTGTCGGGCGGTCTGGTCTGAGGACGGTAAGCTCTACCCGGCGACGGTAGTGGCGGTGAACTGCGAACGCTGCAGAGTTCGGTTCATTGGTTACAACAATGAGGAGGACGTGGAGCTGAGCTCGCTCCAGAGTCTCTGCGAGACGCCCAACCCCGACCATCAGGTTGAAACATTTACAACCACATTTTAAGCTCTAATTGGTTCATACATGGGTTTAAATTGTTTTAAAGTCAAGAATGTGAATTTTTTTTATATATATTTGTTTTATGGGCATCACAATCATTAATAAACAACTTCTAAATGTAAACTTTATAAAGACGCCTTCATTTCACAGGTATTTCTAAACTTATGATTTAAGTTGAATTTATGAAGTAACGTGTTTCTGTTGGGTTTGTGCGTTCAGGACTGGAAGCCTGGCGCTCCTTGTCGGGCCGTGTATTCAGAGGACGGTTTGGTTTATCCTGCTGTGGTTCTGTGGGTCAAAGGTCAGCGCTGTCGTGTTCGCTACAACATCTACAACAACGAGGATGAGCTGGACGTCGATGACCTTCTGAGACCGGAAGAGCTCCGCGGTCCGATCGGAGCTGCCACCAACACAAAGGTCGTTGACCATGCTGAAGTTTAAACTTTACTGAATGGACTTTATTTTGCTTTAGCTCAGATTAAATTGCTTCAAACTGTTTTAAATCTGTTAAACTCTTTGGAGTGAACGTTGTTAATGAAGTTTACTGATGTGTGAAAATAAAACCTCATGTCAGGACAGAAATAAATCATCATGAAGCTTAATAAAGTTGTTAAAAATACAGTAAATATTCTTCTGGTTTGTTCCGAACACTAAAACCAAAGGCTGAAGTTTGTGAGGTGAAACCCAGAATAACCGAGGTTTAATCTGGATTAGCAGAATTTATAAACGACCTGTGTAAAACAAGGGTTTATGTCGAAAAGAAACCTGACCCGTGTGTTGGTTCTGTAGGGCAGCAGGGGATCCAGTCCTGCCAGCAGTTCCTTTGACTTGAGGAAGGAGAAGAACCAGGGAGAACAGGGAGGAGAGAAGAGTTCAGCATGGAGGAATGACCAGAACGTCTCCACGGTGAGTCTTCATCAGTAAGGACTTAAAAATCATTTCTCAAGTTGAAAACGGGTCGAACGTAAGTCCGGTTTGGATGTTTGAAAAGAGAACGTTGATAAAAAACTTTGTTCCTGGTGTTTACGTTGATCTCCAGCGGACGGCTTCAGGAACCTGGAAGTCTTGTTCCTGAATGATGGTAGGAGGGGGAGGTGGATCGACGGGTCAGAACCTCCTCTATAGTAATGAGGCTGTTGCTCCAGTCTACACGCCAACCCTCCCCTGCGATCATAATGTTCAGTTCAATTTCTTTATATAGCACCGTCACAACAGAAGTCGTTTCAGGCACTGAGCAGAAACATTCATATACATGAAAAGTTCACGTTGTTTTCCTGAGGAGCCTGCGGGTTGATTTGAGTCTTTGTTACAGATGCTCAAGATGTGGATCCAAGGATTCAAGTTTCTTTGTCATATGCACCACATGTGGTACTAGGCCTGTCACGATAAAAAGTTTTGCTGGGTGATTGTCTCAGAAATTATTGCGATAAACGATAATATTGTTTGAAATTTGACAATAATTAGTAATTATTGTCAAATTTAAGAAACAAAAAAGTAATTTTGTGTGTAGTACCTTTTTGCGACCACTGGATGGTAGTATAAGATAGTTTGAATCGAATGATGGATAGTGAGGGAGCAAGCAGCGTGTGTCTCTAAGAAAAATGGGACGGAGGCCCCTGGACGTGACATGGGGCGTCATGACATGCACCAGCTCTCCTGCCTGTAGCCAGACTCATCGTTGTTCGTGGTGCGTCCCACCACATCTGTATCATCTGCAAACTTTACAATGTGACAGCCTGGATGGGTGGGTGCACAGTCATACGTGAGCAGAGTGAACAGAAGAGGGCTCAGCACACAGCCCTGAGGAGAGCCAGTGCTGAGGGTTGTGGTGGAGGAGGAGGAGTTGTGGATCCTCACAGACTGTGGTCCGTTTGTTAAGAAGTCCAGGACCCAGTTGCAAATGGAGGTGCTTAGTCCTAGTGTGAGCAGTTTGTCCTTCAGGGTCTGGGGAATCGTGGATCATGACTGAAAGAACCAGATTCTGGATCCGAGAGCTGGGCGCCTCTCTGGAGGATTTTAGGGCCCGTTCAAAGTTCGTTATTTGCCATTTGTGTACCGACCAACAATCCAGGGACATTGGAATGTTTGTGCAGAGCTCTCGCAGTCGTCGTCCGAACACTGAAGCAATAAATAAAACTAGAAGGTTCCTGGAGAAACTTGGACAGGGACTGTCACGTTGAGCCGTTTTAACTTGTTGCTTTGACTGTGTGCTGTTGGGCATTGCAGCTGAATACGTCTAAAAACTGCCGACTTACGTCTGTTTGAAATTAGCCTTGGCGGCCATCTTGCGGTGATTCCTGCGGTCAGGAGCACCTCTGTTCCACTAGGAGGAGCCCCCGAAGCAGAGCCAGAACACGTGGAGGGATTACACAAAACATCCTCTCTGGGCTGGGATTATCTTGGAACCCCTGAGGAGGAGCTGGAGAGGAAGGTCTGCGTTTCCCTCCTGGACCTGGTACCAGCAGACAGAACCTTTTCATTCAGCCTTTGTTTAGACGGGTTAATCCCGTTGAGCCTCGAGGACTCGTTTACAAGAGAGACCTGCGCTTCCGTCAGAGAGCTGAGCACTTCACCATCATCGGGACTTTCCTAGAGAAAGTTTTTGTTTCACGCACAGCGTTTCTCTTGGTTTCCCTGCCTTGGCAGAGCGTTGCTCGTATCTTTCGTGATTTTTGTCGACGGGGTGGCGCTCGGTTCTGTTGACAGCGTGGGGCGCCCTGCTTGTAGAAGAAGCTCGTCACCAAGCTGCTCTGCAGGAAGCAGCAGATCTGATGATCCAGTCTCACGTTTTCCAGGACATTTGTCAGGTTGATGTCAGAGTTTCAAACCCAGTTGTATCTAAACAAAAAAAAGTTCTTAATTCACCAGATTTGTATTAAAAGCAGTTTATTTTTGTCGTTCGTTTTTTTTTTTTTAACTTTTCATCTAGAGTTTTTCACGAGAAACTGAACTGAGGCAACAATCAGGTTTTATATGAACTATCTGCAGCATGGAGGACGAGGATTAATCTTAAACTTGCAATTTTATTATTTGCAGGTGAAAATTAGACCCGGGAGTCAGAATCAAGTGAAGCAGGAACAACTGGAGCAGAGAGACGAACAGACGAACGACGACGTCCCTCCGTTTCCTCACATGAGCTCCGGGGTAAATCTGACTCATGTCTACCAAATCATTTTAATACCTTTATTTCTTACAATAAAAGTGTGTTTAAGACACTTTGAAGTAGCTTTAAATGTTAATATTGATGGTTTTTATTGATATGCGTCGGTGTCAGAAACACTCATCGCTGTAAGAATCAGGTTTTTGGGACTTTCATGGTTTTAATTAAATTTTACCAAAAGGATCCTTTTCTGTTTGAAATATTACTGCAGTTCATTACAGATCGTTGTCAGCTGCAACATGTTTGAAACAAATTAACTTATTGTCCTTAAGAATATTCATCAGACAGATTTATTAAAAATCTGAGTTGTTTTATTTCAGGGACCTTCGTCTTTCTTTCCCCCGCCTCCTCCCACCTGGGCGTTCTGCGGCAGAGATGCCTCCATTTCTCTGGACTTGGACTCCATCACCAACATGTTGATGCAGTGGTACATGTGTGGTTTCCACACCGGCAGCTACATGGTCAGCAACGAGTCATTCACTGCACCTCACACCTGTTTGAAGCTCACACCTGTTTGAAGCTCACACCTGTTTGAAGGTCACACCTGTTTGAAGGTCACACCTGTTTGAAGGTCACACCTGTTTGAAGCTCACACCTGTTTGAAGGTCACACCTGTTTGAAG